CTGTTTCCATTGTTCAGCTGTAACATATTCCTGGGAAACTCGGGCTCATAGCCCAGTGATCTTTCAGACTGGTAGCGATCATAGTTCACAAAAAAGAAAGTCTTCTTTTTACGGGCGTTGTATTCAGGCAACATATCAAGCGTTACAATATCCTGCAGGCCATCGTTGTTGATATCTGCTGCATCTGTACCCATGGCAGAATAACTTTGGTGGCGTATGGCTTTGCCGATAACATTGGCAAACCCTCCGCTGCGGTTATTTAACCACATTTCGTCATTGGATACAAAATCATTGGCCACATAGATGTCCGGCCAGCCATCTTCATTAAAATCACCTGTTACCAATCCCAGTCCATAGCCATCTTCCTTTATGCCCGCCTGCATGCTCACATCAGCAAATACATCATGCCCAAGTTTTGAAGAATAGCCTTCATTGCGGTAGAGCTTATCATTGGCGGCTGAACGGCCACTGCTGTCGCGTGGAAAAAGATAATTGGCATTGGGACCATTCAGCAGGTAATTACTGAGGTACATATCAAGATCACCATCCCTGTCGTAATCCAGGAAAACGGCCTGTGTAGAATAACCCGTGTCTGCCAACCCGTATTCTGTGGCAGACTCCCGGAAACTGAGATCGTGCTGGTTAATAAACAGCAGGTTCTTTGCACGGTGTAGAAGGTTTTTGCCAAATACAGAAATATAAATATCATCATAGCCATCGTGGTTGATATCTACCACGCTTACCCCGGTTGCCCATTCGTGCGTGGTGAGTCCGGCTGCCTGCGTAATGTCTTCAAAATGATTGCCACCTTTGTTGATGTACAAGCGGCTGCTTACCTGGTTGCCGGTAAAGAAAACATCTTTCAGGCCATCGTTGTTGAAATCGCCAATACCTACACCACCGCCCATATAACCAAACTCATTGATAAAAGAACCCGAAGAGTCATTTTCATTAACATCGTTACTGAAATAAATGCCCGATTTTTCAGCAGGCAGTGGTGTAAACAGGGTGGGTTCAGATGGATGGCTGCAGGAGGCCAGCAGAGAAAAGAGCATTCCCCAAAAAATAAACGCGTAGTGCTGGTTTGGTGTTTGGTGAAAACAACGACAACAGAAAGTCCAACAACGAAGGAAACAGGTTCCCCCTGGCCGGTGTCTCGCCGTCCAGCAGTCTGGTTGATTCCGGTCGGCGAGACACCGACCAGGGAGGGAAAAGAATGTTCTTTTCATGTGCCTGTCAAATTATATTTTCATACAAATACATTTCTTAAAAATCATTCCTGCAATTTCCGGACAGCATATTGGTGAAGACACCAACAGGAGCTACGACGGCAACAGCAGCAATGGCAGCGGCAAAAAAATAGAGGCTATGAAAATAGCCTCTATTAAAGAAAGTTACACCGATTTATTTAATCAATGGATTGGTAGATGTTTCACTGGACGGAATCGGGAACAGCGAAACCTGGCCCGGTACACGATCTGGAATCAATGAGGGAAAATATCCTTTTGCCCTCCAGCGTAAAATATCAATACTGGCCACTTCCTCGGCTCCCAGCTCTACGGTGCGCTCATGCATCACTGCTTTTAATGCATCGTTCTTTGTTGCAGGCGCTACTGCCGGCATGTTTACACTTGGCCTGCTGCGCACCTGGTTGATATAGATAGCAGCCTGTGCAGGTGTTCCCACTTCGGCTTCACATTCAGCCAGCATCAGTAATACATCTGCATAGCGGATGACGCGCTGGTTAATGCCACCCGGGTGAAAGCCGGAGTTTACATACTCGTAAATATTGTATTTCCGGAAAAACCTTTTTATGGTTACCCCGCCTTTTACACTGGTGGCAATATTCATTGCAGCCGCAGTGAGTGTTAAGGGGCCATTGGGTACTGCTGTCAGAATATTGTCTCCTTCTTCGTAGATGGTAAATTTATACCTGGGATCATTCGCTTCAAACTCATTCAGGAACTGGTTAGACGGTATAACGTTTCCCCAGGTGATGCCGTATTCCTGGTTGCGTACAGTGCTCAACGGGCTGGTAGAACCTTCTCCGTTATAACCCCAGTTAAAATTATTATCGCCCTTGTCAACAAATACCACTTCAAAGATTGATTCTGCGTTAAATTCATGGCCGGTGGCAACGGTAACATTGTTATCGTCTTTGATATCGCCGTCGAAATTCCATTGATAATTGGCCACCAGCGAATATTTTCCGTATACCTGCAGCAACGCTGTTTTTGCAGCAGCGTAATCACCTTTCTGCATCTGCACTTTTCCCAGCAAAGAATACGCTGCATATTTTGTTGCCCTTCCGTTATCGGAAGAACCGTAGCTGGCAGGCAACTTTGCCGTGGCATCAGTTAAATCAGCAATCACCAGCGCATAAATATCCGCTGCAGGGGATTTACCTTTAAAACCGGTTGAAGATGTAATAGGCTCGGTATACAAAGGAACATCTCCCCATTGCGATACCAGCTCAAAATAAGCCCAGGCTCTTAAAAACTTCGTTTCGCCCACCAGGCGATCGCGGAGTGTAGTATTATCAGTTACACCGGGTGCTTTTGACAGTACCAGGTTTGCCCGGTTAATCATTTGATAGCAGCCGGTCCATACGTTTGTCATTACAGAATTAGATGGCGCCGGAGACGGTTGTTTCAATAGTTCGGCCCTTGGTGCTTCCAGCTGTGCACCGCCGGAGTTGGTTTCGCCACCCCGCATATCGTGTGTAAAAAACCACTCCCTGCCTACCAGTTGTGCTGAACGCAGGGTAGAATAAACAGCGTTTACACCATTCTGCAGTTCAATGGCTGTCTTAAAATAACTTTCCGTTGTAGGGTTGTTTGTATCCAGTACATTCAATTTTTTGTTACAGGCAACGATACCGGTAAAAACCAGCACAATTGCAATAACCAGTATACTTACATTTAGCTTCATAATGTTATGTTTTATGAATGTTGAACTTAATTTTTATTACTAAAATCCTGCCTGGATGCCCACCTGGAATGCCTTGGGTTGCGGGTAAACGGCAAAGTCGATACCATTGGTTAACTGGGAGGATCCGGGTGTACGGTTACCCACTTCCGGATCAAAACCTTTGTATTTGGTAACGGTTAAAATATTCTGTGCCGAAACATAAATACGCAGGTTCTTTATAACTCCTTTTGATAAGGATTGCATCGATTTTTCAGGTAGGTTGTATCCCAGCATTATATTTTTAAAACGCAGGTAAGAACCATTTTCCAGGAAACGGTCAGAAGTACGGGCATTCTGATTGGGATCGGAAGATATGGCGCGGGGTATGCTGGTGTTGGTATTGGTGGGGGTCCACGCATTCAATACCTGTGTGCCTGCATTAAAGAAACGAATCATACCTTCTGTGATAACGCGTGTGGCATTGTAAATTTTATTGCCCTGTACACCCTGGAAAAAAACTGACAGATCGAAATTTTTATAATTGGCACCCAGGCTTACTGCGTAGGTCATCTTTGGTATAAAACTGCCCAGGAAAACGCGGTCATTCAAATCAATGACACCATCTTTATTCTGATCTTTGAATTTGATATCACCCGGCGCGGTGGCGGCAACTTGCGTAGCATGACTGGCAACTTCTGCAGCATTCTGAAAAATACCTTCTGTCTGCCAACCATAAAAAGACTGGATGGATTGCCCAACAGCTGTATTGGTAATATTATAACCACCATAGTCTGCATCTGAACCTGCTTCTATATTGGTCACTCCTTCCGCCAATCTGGTTACCTGGTTGGTAACAAAACTCATATTGGCACTTGCATTCCATTTGAAATCACCAATGCGGTCATTGTATCCCAACTGTACCTCAAACCCACTGTTCCGCATTGCGCCAACGTTCTGGGCAACAGTACTGGTTATAAAACCGAATGAAGGAGGCAGTGGCACATTTAAAATCAGGTTATCTGTCTGGCGACGGTAGTACTCTGCGGATAAGGTGAATGCATTATTAAGCAATCCCAGGTCGAGACCTACGTTAAACTGTTTGGTTTTTTCCCATTCCAAATCTTTGTTTCCCAAACGCTGAATAGAAGATGCAGGACCTCCTGTAATGGCGTTATTATAAGGATAGTATGCGCTGTTTGAACTGACGCTGACCTGCCATGGAGTATTGCCCAGCAGCACCCCATTGATACCAGTAATCCCATAACCAGCTCTTACTTTCAGTTCGGAAATTTTTGTCATGCCCTTCATGAAATCTTCCTGGTCAATTCTCCAGCCAATTGAGCCTGACGGAAAAGTAGCCCATTTTTTACCGGGCGCCCAAACAGAAAGACCGTCACGGCGAACAGCGGCACTCAAAACATATCTTCCTTTAAAGTCATAATTAATACGGCCAAGGTAAGAA